GTCATGAACCCCTCAAGCTTATTTCTTGTGCCCAAACTCCACAGTCATCAACTTAAACTTCAAACTCTTGAATCAGTGACTTAGAGACTTTTAAGAAGAAAGCTTGAAATGAGAGGAGATGAATTCCTTGACCTAATGCACTGAACTTTGAGCCATCTTTAAGGCAGGCGAAAGAAACATCTTCACAGAAACTAGGGATCCAAAAACCCTAGCATGTTGGCCAACAAATAAGGAAATAAACCCTAATCTAGGCTCAGATAAATTCGAGCAAGAATCAACCTTGTAACGTGATGACAAAGAAATTCATGATACCTCAAAAATCCATCTCATGATCCACTAATCGAGAACCAGATGCATTTCCCTTTTACCTGATAAGAGGACTTCAAAACAAAATTAGACATAAATAGGGCACAACCCTAATACCTCAAACCAAGGCGCTTGATTCCATGAGATGCAGGATATGCAAATGACTTAGTGAAAACGGTGCAACTGGGATGCCAAGTTCAAAGCGAGACAAGAGTAAAAAGAGGTAGGGCAAATTTGGGGTACGACAGCTGCCCCTATTTAATCGTCTTAAACCTGAAGGTGATATTGGCGTCAGCCTTTCAAAAGATCAAAGTAGAAGATGATTAAATACCAGGACCCAGAATTTTCCCTGGAGAGATGGTGTGAGTGTTATTTATTGGTGTGAGTGTCTGTTGGGGCAAGACAAATTTGTCTTCTGGTGGGCTGGTAATGATGGATAAACATGGTTGAACAATGGTATCTCGTATTGGGATAACGGTGCCAATACAAGGTTCTTGAGGGAGTGGACGGTAAAGTGACTGAAAGGATATGGTTGACAATGTCGCGGTGACCGAAGGTAGGATTCATAAGAAACTTAAAGATAACTCGAGGGTAAAGTCTACGGAGGACTTACGGCCCTAAAAAGATAACGTGAGGGTAAGACCTACGAATGACCTACGACCTTAAGAGAGATATAGCGAAGGTAAGATCTACGGATGATCTACGACCTTAGGAAAGATAGCGCGATGGTAAGATCTACTGACGATACGACCCTAAAAACAAGATAATGCGAAGGTAAGATCTACGGATGATCTACGACCTTAGGAAAGATAGCACGGTGGTAAGATCCACTGACGATCTACGACCCTAAAAATGAGATAATGTGAAGGTAAGATCTATGGATGATCTACGACCTTAGGAAAGATAGCGCGATGGTAAGATCTACTGACGATCTACGACCCTAAAAAACAAGATAATGTGAAGGTAAGATCTACGAGCGACCTATGACCTTAAATGAGATGAAGCGAAGGTAAGATCTATGAGCGACCTACGACCTTAAAAAAAAAGATGACGAGAGGGTAAAGTATACGGACGACCTACGACCCTAAGAGAGATAAAGCGAAGGTAAGATCTATGGACGACCTATGACCTTAAAATGTGAAGGTAAGATCTACGGACGATCTACGACCTTAAGATAGATAAAATGAAGGTAAGATCTACGGATGACCTACAACCTTAAGAAATGTCAAGTGAGGGTAAGATCTACGGACGATCTACAACCTTAGGAAAAGATAACGTGACTATTAAGAGGTGGGGAGCATGACGTACTAACACCCTGGTTTATTTTAGTTGGTAGAGTAATAACAAATGTTAATTGGGAATTATGAGGATGATATTCTTTGTGAGGATGTTTTGCTGATTTGGGATTGATCTGGCTCATGCTTCATATGCATTTGAAGTGTAACATGATGATCCATGGATATGCTATGCGTTTGAGGATGCAATGCAATATGTCGTGATGATTATTGTATGTAAAGTACCAAAAGCTCATTGGGATCTATTGCTCGTCATCTTGAGGTACTAATATGAATTGGTGCTTGAAATTTGAGAGAAAAGGGTTAGCCTTGTCGAGTTCACTGGGGGATCAAATCTTGCTGAGGAGAAATGACTTGATCTGACTTCCTTCATGTGTTGGACTTTTTGTGAATAACTGAAAAGAGACGTGGATCTCAACCAATGCCCCAAGTCTCTCCGTGTGGGAGAATCGGGTGCTCGATCGATTGTAAGGAGGCAACGAGGATGAAATCTTGGTCAAGGCGACCGTTATGACTTGCTACCTGCACAGAAGAGCAAACACTTGAACGCCACGACATTCCCTTGGGATGCCTTCCTATCCATGTAATGTAGTGTTTCACATCTTAGCTTGTGATTATTATTGACTTATTATTTTCAATGCAATGCTTAACAAAGAATTTAAATCACAATTCACATACGAAAAATAAAGTAAAAGAGCATAACAAAGATTTTTTAATGGAAGGGCAAATTTTTATTAATGAGTTTGGCCTGTGAATGGGCATCCATACATAGAAACAACTCCTAAATGAGGAAGTTGCAGAGAAGAAAAGAAATACAACGAGTAAAATGGCAATAAGAAAATCTCGAACTTCCGTTAAAACTGATATTGCTATAGTTCCCGTATCCTGGGTCGTCATAGTGCCGTGCTTCCAAAGGATAATAGCTAGATTGATCCATCCTACATTAGGAGGGTGTACATGAAGAGTCTTCAGACTGCAGTCTCTCGCTTTTTTGTCCCTAATTTTTGCCTGGATCGCCCTTTCGGGTTTTCAATCCACCGGGACACTCATTTTTGCCTAAGCCGCCCTTTCGGGTTTTCAACTTAGCGGGTTATTATTATTTTTTTATTTTTAGCCCTAACTTTTGCCTAAGCCTCCCTTTCGGGTTTTCGACTTAGCGGGTCCTTTTATGCGTAGTATTTTTTGGCTGAGTCTGAATTGACTGGAAGCAGAACGTCTTCCCCATCCATGTTTGTCAGGATTAGAGCACCTCCTGAGAAAGCTTTCTTCACGATGCACGGTCCCCCATAATTGGGAGTCCACTTGCCTCTTGGATCAGTGTGGATTGGGAGAATCTCCCTTAAGACCAGGTCACCTGTGTGGAACTCTCAAGGCCGAATCTTTTTGTCAAATTATCTTTTGAGACGTTGTTGATATAACTGACCGTGACAAATGGCTGCCAAGCGCTTTTCTTCGATGATATTGAGTTGGTCGAGTCTCGTTTGAATCCATTCAGCTTCATCGAGTTCAGTATCCATCAGAACCCTTAAGGAAGGGATCTCCACTTCGACCGGAAGTACTGCATCCATGCCATAGACTAGTGAAAACGGAGTTGCCCAAGTGGAAGTATGCACCGAAGTTCGATAGCCATGCAGGGTAAAAGGTAACATCTCATGCCAATCTTTGTACGTTCTCACCATTTTCTGGACGATCTTCTTTATGTTCTTGTTAGCGACTTCAACTGCCCCATTCATCTTTGATCGATAAGGTGATGAATTATGGTGCTCGATCTTGAACTCTTCACACATTTCCTTCATCATCTTGTTGTTGAGGTTTGACCCGCTATTAGTGATGATCTTGTTAGGAGTTCCATAACGACAAATGATCTCTCTTTTGATGAAACGAGTGACAACTTGCTTGGTCACATTCTTGTACGAAGCCGCTTCCACCCACTTGGTGAAGTAGTCAATAGCAACAAGAATAAACATGTGTCCGTTTGAAGCGCTCGGCTCGATTCGCCCAATCATATCGATGCCCCACATTGCAAAGGGCCATGGTGAAGTCATCACATTCAAAGGAGTGGGAGAAACATGTATCCTGTCTGCGTAAATCTGACATTTGTGGTACATTTTGGCATATACACAACAGTCGCTTTCCATCGTCATCCAGAAATAACCTGCTCATAGGATTTTCTTGGCCATGGAATGCCCAGTGGCATGAGTCCCAAAAGAGCCCTTGTGTATTTCTCGTATAATGGATTCTGCTTCGCGTCTATCCACGCATCTGAGCAGAACGAAATCATAGTTTCTCTTGTACAGAACGTCTCCTGACAGTAAAAACTTAGACGCCAACCTTCTAAGAGTCCACTTATCACAAATTGTATCACCTTCGGGGTACTCTTGCTTCTCAAGATATCTTTTGATGTCTAAGTACCACGGCCTTTCTACTGATACATCTTCAATTGTGAGACAATGAGCAGGGAAAATGTGTGTTGGCTCCTTGTAACGACAAATCCTTATATTGGGTATATGATTCGGGTAACTAACTTTGAACATTGCTGCTAAAGTAGCCAGAGCGTCTTCCAGTTGATTTGCTTCTCTAGGAATGTGCTCAAAGGTGACCTCATCAAAAGCGGGCAACAACTCTAATATGTAATCTCGGTATGGAACTAAATTAAGGTTTCGTGTATCCCAATCACCCCGTACTTGATGTATCACTAAGGCAGAGTCCCCAAAAACTTCAAGAATCTTGATCTTCAAATCAATGGCAGAGTCTCCAGCAATTTTTTCGAAGCTTGATTCATCTACAGTCCTGAGCAACATGTAAAATGTCATTTTGTCATTCGATCGCGTCTCTTTCAACGCCTTCGTTTGAGCTTCCGTATATCCCCCAACTTATGTTGGTTCTTCAAACCCTTCATGGGTCACATCCCACGCGTCTAGAGATCCAAGAAGAGATTTCATTTGGATACTTCAGTTTTCATAATTTGACTTCGTTAGTCGTGGCAATGACATTTGATTCATCATATTTACCATGAGCTTTGATGCCAAATTGTTATAATGAAGCAAACTTCGATTTATTTTGTTTTGAGAAAGAGGCAAACTTTCTTCTATATTGTTGCTAATAAAATACACTCTTTGTCTTTATATAGACCCAATGACTTTTACAATTCAAGAAAAGATAACTGCTACCAATAAAAACAATCATAACCTACTGACTTTTTGACCTTCCAAATTACATTGGTTCTTAATCTTCTTACTACCTTATTTAATAAGAAAACACATTACTAATGACATTAAATTTTACTCAACAAATACAACTAATACTTATAAAAGATACATCATTTTTACTTGACAATGGAGTACATTTAATAGAAGAAAATCAAAGAAGTAGTACAATGATGCATTGCAGAAAATAATTCTAATTCTTTTTAAGCAACACTTCCTTAATAACTTTGTCTAAGTTCATGTATGAACAACCTCCTGGAATAGTGTTCTCCTCTGCCTTCTTTTTCAATTCCATTGCCTTTTGCCTCATCTTCTTTCCTTTCTCTCCCACCATCAATTCATTTACAAGCTTCTCCACCTCATATCTCTTCACTTTTGGATCGATTTCAGCTCCAATCTCCCATTCATTGCAAATGAATCTACTATTTGTTGGTTGATCAGCGAAAAATGGCCAACACAACATTGGCACTCCAGCACATATACTTTCAGTGGTTGAGTTCCATCCACAATGAGTCAAGAATCCACCAATGGAAGGGTTGTTCAATACTTGCTCTTGCGAACACCAGCTCGCAAGTAATCCTCTATCTGAAATTTCATTCATAAACTCAGATGACAAAACCACCGAGCCACCAATTACAAGATCAGGCCTAATGATCCACAAAAATGATTTCTTACTATTGGCCAAACCCCAAGCAAACTCCAACAGTTGCTCTTGAGTCATAACTGTGACGCTACCGAAATTTACATAAACAACAGATCCAGGTTCCTTGAATTCAAGCCATTCAAGACATTTGATATCTTCTTTCCAAAGATTGGTGCCTAGAGATGCTAATTGATGATTATGTGGAGTTTGGTTTAACAATAAAGGTAAAGGGCCAATGGGATAAAGAGAAGGAAACATAGAGATTAGAGCATTTATTACATCACTCTCGAGTTCATCAAAAGTATTCAAAATGATAGTAGAATCTCTATGAACTCTATCTGCCATATCAATAAAGAATTCTAACATGATATCATTTGGATTTGTAGTCCTTATAAAGTCGATAATGTCCTTTAATCGAAAGTTTTTTAAACCTGGAATCCAGTCTACTTTGGTTTCCAAATATCCATTTGTTAGATAACTCTCATCTGCATATCATGAATACCAAAGTTAATAGTTTGAAGTTTCACACACACCTACACATATACACATAATAATAATTAATTTAGCAATACCTTTGAGTGGTGTGAGGCCTTTTTCTACAAAGGAATAGAAGTGCAAAATACTCAATAAAGAACATGCACTTGCTGGAAAAAAGAGCACGTTTGGTAATGCGAATTCTTTAGCAGCTTGTATAGTAAAAGTCATCAAACAATCAGAAACTAAGCAAGTAACATGTGGAATAAGACCAGCATTGGCAGATTCATTAAGTCTAGAAAGAAGTTCACAATAGGGTTTAAGGAAATTCTTTCTGATAGATTGACTTAGAGAAGGTACGTCTTGAGTAACATCACCGTCACCATCCATTGGAGTTAAACCATCTGGAATAGTCTCAAAGGTGAAGTCTATCAAACCATCAAAGGCTTTTGGACCCCTTGATTTGAGCAAGCGTTTGTGGTTGTATTCAGTGTTGACAAAGGTTATGTGAAAGCCTCTAAGGTGAAGAAGCTTTGCTAGTTTGAACAATGGATTGATATGACCTTGAGATGGATATGGAATCAACACAGCATGTAGTTTTTGCTCTGCAAAATTTCCCATCTTTGATTATTTTCTCTGTTTGTAGATTGTGTGTACAAGATATGAGGCTGAAAAACATGTGATAGGGAGGCATGTGCTTTAATAGAGGGAAAAAATTGATAAATATTATCACATGTGCTTTAATAGAGGGAAAAATGTAGGAGGTTGTAATAAAATGAAATAAGTTATTTATTAGACTATAATTTCATTTTTGAAGCATTCATTTCGTAAAACTGTGTCTCTTAATATTTCTCACTTGTCAATGGACCCAGCTACTTAATACTATCATAATGTTGTTGAATATGTTGGTAGGAGCAATCAATATGGCACTTCGTTTATACTTGATACATCTGAAAACTGTGTCTACTTATATTATAGAGATTTTAAGTTAGTCTCTCAAAGTTGATCAGATTAGTTTTTTCCATGAGTGTGTCAATCCAGATCTTTGTTTTATAGAATGTTAATCAATTTGGTCCCTAAGTTACTTAACATAGTTAGGTATGTTGATGTCCTCGTTGGCATTCACATTACTGTATTTATATTTATCACATTGTCTATCTCAAACTTATCTTTTTCTTATTTTGTGGGTGATCTGATATATTTTTCTTTAAATGTTGTTGATAACAATGGATAGGAAGACGCATTTTGAAACAATTTTTTTAAAACTTTGTTTGACAATAAAGGATGTATTTGTAAACATTTCGACACCCAATTCAATAACTATGTAAGTGTGAAGTTTTAACGTTTAAATAATGTGTACTTAGACTAAATTAACCTTTAGTTCTTATAATTTTTTTAACATTAGCGGCTCTGGATCTTTATTTAGGAGATGTATGATTCTGAGAACAAATGATTGTAGATCGTATGACCTTTGCATCTAAGTGCCCATGATGGTTGATCAACTTTGATCTGTTGTGGCTCTTAAGGTGGGTGCATCTTTTAGACCACTCCTTTTTGATGGCTTTCGGCGACCCGAATTTCTTTCGTTGAAAAAATCATTGAAACATACAAGAAATTAATGATTCTTGATTATGTTGAAATTGCATGTCAAATAAGTTATTTCTCATCTCCCGTATGTTGATGATACCTTAATCTTCGTTGTATTGTAGGCTCTTTGGACTATCAAAGCTATATTGAAGGGTTTTGAGCTTGTTTCTGGTCTTTGGGTTAAATTTCATAAGAGTAGTGCATAATAAATATAAACATATAATAATTTATGTTAGTTGAGTTCAGTGGTGTTCAAATTCAAACCAATCCAAATAAAAACTTCTAGTCGATTCAAAAAATCAAAAAAACTACAAAAAAAAAATCCAAAAAGAAATATTGGATGTGTTTAGATGTTATTTTGTAAAAACCACTCTGATTGTATATGAGTAATTTTTTCTTTCCTCTTGGTCTATTCTTCTTAGATCTTTCTTTTTCCACCACGAGACATTCAATTATGAAGTGTTCAAGTTCTTTTTACTCGTAGAAAATGGCCTTATTATCAACTTTTTTTCTTGTCTCTCGGATCTTTGATGTACTTGAACTCCCTATTGGAAAATTGTTTCTTTCTTCTGGCCCATAGACTCTTAAACTTCCTTAAGGTTGACTATTTTACCAAAGCTTGATTTCAAGGCTTGGGTCAAGGTTCAAGGGATTCATATGTGCATCACATTAGTCCATCCCAAATTATTTAAATTGATAAAAATAACATGGCAAGATGTTAGAAGAAGTTGATTGATTTAAGTTGAGGAAAGTTAACAAAATGTCTAAAATACTTCAAACCATTCAAATCATTTTGTACCCTTTATGCACTTTTCTCTTGAAAATATTTTCTCAAAGATTAGACATTAGTTGATTATTAAAGTGATACAACTATTATACTTCTACAGTATGTTGTGAAGCGAATGTCATTTCCACTTGAATATTGAGAAATTGTTTTGTTGATTTAATCCAAGCAAACACTCCATCAAGATGATGCAAATGCTCCTTCCTCATAGTTGTGAGTAATAAGTATGTTTTCTACTCGAATACGACGACATGTCTATTCATTTAAAAACAATCAACAAATAAACTTTTTCCAAAAAGAACTACAAGTGTTCTAATTTCTTTTAGGATACATAGGCACTTGGTTGAAAAATACGGACGAACTTAATAATAAAAATATTTTCTTTCTCCCCAATTAATTCATTCATGCATTTTTAATAAGTTGAAGCTTTAGATACCAACACTCTTTGATTAGAACAATCAGAGTTGATCACATTGAGTACAACAAATATTTAGGATGCTAATACATTCTTTTTGCATAACCGACTCTCATACCTTTATCTCTTTGTGCTTTACTTTTTTTCTTTGCTTTTTGCCTTGATTTTTGCTTTGCATGATTTTGTGGGTTTTATTCGATCTTTTACCATTTCTTTGGAAACAATAATGTTCGGTGGCCACTCTTGCTTTTCACTGAGATAAGTTAATCAATAGCTTATTCTCAAATTTTCTCGCCGCGATAGACATATTTGTCTATATGAGTTTCACCCGCATGTTTCACACACTTGTTACTTTCACCAAAGAAACAACTTTTCAAATCAAAGATGGAAATTTTGGCATCATGGAAATATCTATTTTGAATTATAATTAACACTTGATTCGAGTCACATAAGGTTATGATTTGAATTAGGTTCGTTTGTTGGTTCGAATCACTACATCCAGAGGGAAATTCCTATTTCCACAAGGTCCTCGATTTGAATCACATTTAATACTTGATTCTAATCAAGTAACTCAACATCTTGATTTAAAAGCTCTAACTTGTGATTCAAGCCACCCCTGATGAAATGATAAAAGAACAATTTGTTAGGCTAAAAAAGGGACAGTATCATTGTAACACCCTAAATATCCCCCGCGTATTTTATAAAAATTATCAGAGTAATATTAATACATAACATTTAGGATGTCACAATTCAACAAAAATATGCTCATGCAATCAAATATATAACACATACTATTTCAGAAATTATTAAAAATAATTATAACAACAAAACATGTCTGGAACTTCAACTTTTGATTTAAGCAGCGGAAAATCATCAACACATAACAATTTAAAAATTTTAAAGTATAATTTTGTTTCAAAAGAAAATAAACATAGTTATAACAATTCTAGAGATTCTAAATAATCTCTCACAAACAAAAATAACATAAACGTCATGTTCTTTGGTGTTACACATTAGAGAAGATGCCGACTCTAACAAAAATAAAAGGAAGACATTATGTTTCACTCACTTCATCATCGAACTACTCTTGTGTATATGCACACTACCCACGTAAAGACAATATTATAACAGTAAGGGTGAGATATCATAATTATATAATGGAATGCATAATAACAAGTGAGCAGCATATTATTACAAGTACAACATACATTCCAATAATATATTCCACACCCACAAAACAACAACACACCAATGCAATACAATGAGACTCAACAACATAGACTCAATGTCTGTGGTACCAAGATGTGAACTCTCAGGTTCACCACTCTGATCCCACCTAGGATCAAAGCTCTCTAAACAAACCTCCTTCCAAAATCGTTACCAATGTGACGCTTCACTAATCCATCAAAATAGGAATTAGCTATTCGCACCCGATCTGCTTAACGGGATTGAGGCTCACCAAATACAGACCTTCGTACAACACCATAAATGCATGCGCCATATTATGCATACAACACAATAACACGCACAAAGACCTTCACCATAGTCAATGTACCTTGCCACTATAGGCCACCATGCACCAAACACATACCAAAACATACAACAACAATAAACCAATGATATAACAAACAATCAAAATGCATTTGCACACATTCCACAAAACAACATAACTTTCTACACACCAAACACATGTCCACGCTTCGAATAATTGGAATTCTGGTACATAAATTAATTTAAATTCGAATTACACTAAATCAGCTTTCCAATGATTCGAACGGTGCATCTATCAGACACTCACAACTCAACATATAAATTTATAAATTTTTCAGAAAATACAAACACCGACATCATACCACATCATACACGGACACCATAAAACATCATTACACACCAATTAATTTTAATTCCAGAAACTTGAAACTATTTTTACATGAAATCACATTGTATTAACTTTCTACATGTTCAAACAGCGTATCAAATGGACACCCGAAACTCAAGTTATGATATTTTGAATTTTTACAAAAATACTGCTAAAACTGATGGAAATCGATTTCTCCCTTTCAGGAAATAGATTTCCTCCACACCAAAATCCAATTTTCCCAATTTTCGAACTGGAAATCGATTTCTCAAAAGGTGGAAATTAATTTCCACTAACCAAAATCCTTTTTTTCCCCACAAAAATGCACTGGAAAATCGAATTCCTTACCAGTGGAAATCAATTTCCACTACGACAAAAGCAGTTTTCTGTTGTTTCAAAGTACAAAAATATGTTTTTCTCTACACCCACAACTCTCACACAATACACAATTCAGGTTTCAAGTTTCAACTCATATTCATATGACTCATTAGCAACATTATAATTTACCAAAACACACATAAACACCTGAAATCACACCAATTTACATCAACACAAACATACAATTTCTCATTATCAATTGTACTTAATATAATCAAAAAAACGGAATTTCACCATTGATGGTTTAACACATGTGGTAGAATTAAATTCTAACAAGTCATTAACCCCAACCCACAAATCATTGTACAACCCATTAGATAATCATAACTCCACCCTTATATTAAAGTTCTTGCAATTCTTCTACCTCTCAAGAATGATGGTTGTATCATTCCCTTGAACTCTAGCTTCCCTTCTTACTTTTTTTTTATTTCATGTTCTGACACTTTTCTACCCCAAAATCCTTTTATTATTTTATTATTACTATTATTTTTATTCTAACTAATTAAATAAATAAAACTGAATAATTATTTAATCCTATTATTACTAATATTATTTATTTAAATAAACTCTAATTTAAATAATAATATTAAATAATACTC